CTGCCCCCGCGCCCGGCGGGCCGCACGCCGTCCCCGCCGCCACCGCCTCTCAGCCCCGCTTTGTGTGTCCCCCCCCGCTGCACAGGGAGCTGCGGGCACCGCGCGGGCCCCCGCGCCAACGCCACGGCGCCCCGAGGACGCATCATGGGCGGCGGCGCGGCGCCGCACGGGGCCTGGCCCTGGCTCGTGTCCGTGCGGCTGCATGGGGAGCTCATGTGCGGAGGGGTGCTGGTGGGACCCGCCTGGGTGCTCACGGCCGCCCACTGCTTCGCTGGGTACGGTGCGGGCACAGCAACGGGGCGGGCTGGCCACCGTCCCCGCTCATGGTCCCACTCACGTCCCTGCTGTCCCCGGCAGGCAGCAGAACGAGCTGGCGTGGACCGTCGTGGTGGGCGACCACGAGCTGAGCAAGAGCGACGCGGGCGAGCGGGCCGTGCCCGTGCGGCGCATCCTTCCTCACCCCAAGGTGGTTGGAGGGGGGCAGCCCCAGGCCTCCGCTTGGTGCTCTCTGCTCCCCGGCCCACACCCCGCTTCSTCCTTCCAGTTCAACCCCAAGACGTTTCACGGCGACCTGGCCCTGCTGGAGCTGGCGGCGCCCCTGGCACCGTCACCCACCGTGAGCCCYGTGTGCCTGCCCAGCGGCCCCGCGGAGCCCAGCCCGGGCACCGCCTGCTACATCGCTGGCTGGGGCTCYCTCTATGAAGGTGGGTGCCCACGCTGGGTCCTTGGGGCACCCCCCTTGTTTGGGCACCCTTGGTTGCTGCCCGCTGCCTGGCACGAGGCAGCCGGGAGCTGCTGGCCAAGGGGGAGGCCGAGGAGCAGGGCACGCCGTGCTAGGAGCCTCCCCCCGCAGAGGGGCCGGCGGCCGAGGTGGTGATGGAGGCGCAGGTGCCGCTGCTCAGCCAGGAGACGTGCCGCGGCGCCCTGGGCAAGGAGCTGCTCACCAGCGCCATGTTCTGCGCCGGATACTTATCCGGCGGCATCGACTCCTGCCAGGTAACGCAGGGCGCTGGGGCGCGGGCACCGGCAGCAGGGCTGGAGCTGCCGGGGGCTGACACGAAGACATCCCTCCCACAGGGCGACTCGGGGGGCCCGCTGGCCTGCCAGGACCCCTCCTCACACCGCTTCGTCCTCTACGGCATCACTTCGTGGGGCGACGGGTGCGGTGAGCGGGGCAAGCCGGGCGTCTACACCCGCGTCGCTGCCTTCACCAGCTGGCTCAGCCTCCAGATGGACGGTGAGGGCCTGCCGGTGCCCGGGAGCACAGGATTGCTGCGGGAAGGGCGTCGCGGGGACGCTCAAGGGACGCAGCCCCTCACGCCAGCCCCGGTGCCCCCGCAGCCCCGTACACCAGTCGGGAGCCCAGCTGCTTCGAGCTGCTGGCGCTGTCCCAGCTGCGCCCGGAGCAGCAGCCGGCCGAGCGCTCCCGCCTCTGCGCCTTCTACACCAGCGGCTGCCCAGCGCCCCTGGGCCGCGCCGCGTGTGCCAGCCGCGCCGAGGAGATGTGCCGAGCCCGGAGGCGGCGGTGYGGTGAGTGCCAGGTCCAGCGGTACCCGGAGCCAGGGCCAGAGACTGCTCCCAGCGGCGCGGCGCATGGGGACGCTGCTCACCCGCTGCGCCCGCAGAGCTGCACGCCTATGCCCAGACCTTGGTGGATCTCCTSCGCCAAGCTGGGGACTTCTTCCGAAACCAGCTCGACTTCTCCTTCCTCACCCGCACCCTGCCCCAGCTYGTGGGCAGGATCTACAGGCACCTCTTCCCTGCCCGTGTCCGCAGGGATGCCCCAGGTACCCTCCTGGGTCGTGCTCCTCCAGACCCGTTTTCTGTCCCAGCACTGCCCCCAGGCTCTCCTACCCCTGTGCTGCCCCACTCCTCATCCCCACAGGTCTGTCCATGGCAGGGAGCCAGCCCAGCCCCACAGCAGAGAGTCACCTGGGACATCGTACCCTCCCCACCAGGTAAGCRGGAATTAGAGGGCACAGGAGGCTGAAAGCTTTGAGGAGATGTCCCAAGGTGGGTGAGATACCTGTGGGCATCACCATGGGGCTGTCCAAAGCATTGATGTCCCCCTAACCTGGGCACATGTGGATGGCGGTGAACACACCCTCCTCCTGTGCACCTAGGGCTGCTGGGGTTCCTGATGTGGGTGGCACTGCCCAGGGAATGGGCACCCACATGAAGTGGATCCGTTGTGCTTGCAGGCAGGTTGTCAGGCAGTCACCCCCTTTCGCTGGGCTCTTTGGGACTGTAGGACCTCAGCTGCAGGACTGGGTGGAGGCACTGAGGGCCATGGCAGGGAGCAGCTCCTCAGCACCCAGCCCAGATGGGGAGAAGCTGCCCGGAGAGACATGGCTCTTTCTGCAGGTATTTGGAGAGGGATGAGCTGGGGAACCTCCTGCTCCTTTGGTGACCATTCCATCAGCGACCAAACCCCTACAGATCCACCCTCTCCCTCCCACTGTCCCTTGGCCCTGATGTTCCTTGGGCAGCCATGGAGGGTGGCACCCTTGGGCACTCAGTTTCCACCACCATGGAGGGAGTGTCTTGCCTTCCTCAGCTGAAACCAGTGCTCCCAGTCCAACTACTACAGAGCAAGATTTGGCTCCAACCCCACTCATGGGTCCTAAACCCATAATCACCAGCCCAAACCCACAGACATGGGTCTGACTCCAGAGCTTTGACTCTGAACCAAAGTGGTCTTAAGGCCACTGAGAACCTGTCAGACGCCAGTCCTACCATGCCCTGCGCTCTGCTCCCGCGTGCCCAAGGGCAGTGCTATCTGTGCCCCATAGCCCACTTTGTCCCTCCATCCCTTTCAGCAGGGTGAGGAGGCAGTGGAGGAGCTGGTGGGCCAAGGCAGAGCCTTCCTCACCCAGCTGCGGGCAGAGCTGGGCCTGGCCACCCGCCTYGAAGCCACGGAGCTGCAACAAGCACCCGGAGACCCGTCAGGGAGCCCTGTGCTGAAGCGTGAGCGCCGGGAAGCAGGTAGGTTGGAGGCGATGAGGCACCGGGTTGGCACTCGCTGTCCGTCCCAGCTGGGATTTTCACACCTCTCTCTACGGCAGGGCTCACAGCAGGCGGGCACCTGCAGGAGAAACATGATCTGGTGCCCACATTGCCCGAGGGGAAGGAAGAGGAGACCGTTGAGAGCCGAGGTAGGCGCCCTGAACGCTGCAGGAACAGGTGCCAACATGCCCAGAAGCACCCATGCCAAGTCACCATGCCAAGTCACCCAGTCATGGGATTGGTGGCAGGCCCAGACGCAGATTTGCTCCCCRGCTCATGACAGATCTCCCACATCCCTGGAGGTCGTCTGCCCTTTCCCGTTGGCTTACCGACATGGCCAGGAAAGGGCCCAGGTGCTCCTGGTCGCAGCGGGATGTCCCAGCGCAGTCCGTTGGCTTCTGTCATCACTCTGTAGTCCCTGACATCTCCATTCCCCGGTTCCAGGCTGTGCCGGTCTCAACGAGTCGGCAGTGCGGGTCAGCGCGGTGCAGGASCTGTACGCCTGGGTGCTGCGGGTGCCCGAGGCTGACCTGGCCATGACTTTCCAGGAGGTAAGTGCCCAGGTCCAGCCTGGCTCTCCTGCTGCCCATCTGGCTGCAAAGTCTKGGGGCTCAGACACTGGTTTGAGCTCCCGTGGGGAGCCAAGTGGTGCCCACCCTGCAGGGTGACAATTGCCCCATGCCCCCTTCCCCAGCAGCCTCCCAAGACTTCCTGGTGTTCTCCTCTCTCCACAGATCCTGGTGGACTTAGGCTCCAAAAACGCCAAGGGGCTGTACCGGGCTCAGGTGCGGGCCATGGTGGGGGGTCGCTCCACGGCTTTTGCTGGCCTCGTGGGCCTGGAGAGCGACTCGCTGGCCCGTAGCATGCCTGGCCTGGTGGCCTTGGCGCTCGAGGCCTTGAAAACCTAACGGTGATGGGGCACTGTGCCGGCAAGGGCACACGTGGGGACTGAGACAGGGGGTCTATCATGTCCCAGTGCCCCCAGGCTCGGGCACTTTCACGGTCTTGTCCCATTCCGTGCCTCAGTTTCCTTCTCGCTGCTGGCACCRCCTGATCCCCCCCAGGGCAAAGGAGCATCTTGGCCAGGATCGCAGCCCTCCCTCGCCCCAGGGCTGCCGCCTCGGCCAAACCCCATCCCCCAGCGCCATCCGGACTGTTATTTATTTGTACAGAAAAGGGTTTATTTTTCAATAAAGAAGGGCTCTATTTTCTAATAGCTCACGAGTGCAAGGGGGTGCTGTGCCACGCGGAGCCCGCGAGGCCGGCCCCGGGGGGGCCCTGCGCGTGATGCAGCACCCTGACGCGGCTCCCATCACCCCACGGCCCCCGGCAACACTCACCCCCGCGGCATCTGTTCCCACCCCGGGCGTTGATGCTGAGCTCCATTCCCCTGGCTGAGGGGGATCAGGAAACCTTTCCTGCCTGCCAGGCACCCAGGAATGCCTCCCATGGCTAACACCTTCTCGGGCCCTGGGCCCAAGGCAGGATCCTGGCGGGCTCTGCCACATGGCATGGCGATGCCACGGTGGGTACAGGGGGACACATGCGGTGGCTATGGACTAAGCTATGCTTTGGAGCTGCAGGGAGAGAAGTGTCCCCTGCCCACCCTGCCCCCAGGCTCTCCCTCTATTAATACCTCTCTTTCTGCAAGGGACCCAGCCACCCAGTACCACCAGTGAGAGGTGCCAACCCCTGCCCTCAAATACCTTTGGGTGTCAGCACACTTGCCTGCTTGCTTTGAGAGAGTCTGGGCCCCTTCATCGCCCCCCGCATCCACTSCCCACTTCAAGCAGCATCCCTGGAGCTGCCGAGCCGCGGGAAGGCTYCTCACTCCATCAGGCGTTCGGCAGTGCAAGTCCTGGAACAGATATGGGAGCCGTCTCCGGGTGCYGGGCAAGGGGCGACAGGGTGACCACCACTATGTGCCAGGGGACACCAGCTGCGCCTGCCCATCTCCCCTCCTCCAGGCAGCGGGGTGCCGGAAGAGGGGGGGCCGGGGCTGTTATCCGGTCTCGTCCCYCTTCCCCCTCGGCACCTGGCACCATCCGTCTCCCCTGTCCTGCCTGCAGCCGGACATCCGTCCCCCGACGGCGGGCGGTGAGGTGGCAGGGAGCCCGGTGCAGCGCGGGGCGGGAGAGCCCAGCGGGCGCCGCATGGARGACCTCCCAGCGCGGCTGGTCCTGCTCGGGGCACTGGTGCTGGCGGGTGAGCGTATGGCTGGGGGTGAGCCCTGTGGCTGGGGGTCCTGAGCCCCCTGGATGGGGGTGAGGGCCAGGAGCGAAGCTGGTAGGATGCCGCTGGGCACAAGTGCCCCCGGGTGCTGCTGGCACCCAGCAGATTTGCATGGCTGAGTATTGCCCGCGCTGCCAGAGCTGTGTCCGTGCCCGAGCTCCGTGCGTGCRTGTGTGTGTACACTGTGCCACTGGATCCCTTTGTACCTGTGTCTGTCCTTGTGCATGTGCATCCACGTGCACAGTGTCCCCGCGCTGTGTTCCTGTGTGTCCTGTGCATGCAGAGTAAATATCTGTGTGTCCGTGTGTTCCTGCATGTCCGTGCCCATGTCTGTGTCCCTGGCCAGGTGTGCCCATGTGCCCCATGCCTGCGCGTGTTCCTGCATGTCCACCTCCATATCCCGGTGTGCCATATGCATAGCAGCACCCTGGTCTGTTCCTGTCCCCACATCGTTAAGCCACCCTGCCATCATCTCATGTCCCCATGGGGCAGCACTGGKTAGACAGGGCCAGGCCTGACCCTGCCCCCCCAGGTGGGCTCTGCGTGAACCAGGAGGAGCGGCTCATCCACCACCTTTTTGAGGAGAAGGGCTACAACAAGGAGCTGCGCCCTGTCGTCTCCAGTGATGAGACKGTGGATGTCTACCTGGCCCTCACCCTCTCCAACCTGGTCTCGCTGGTGAGCCCCCACAGGCATCGCCTACCGTTAGCCTCACCTTATCCCATGGGGTGGGTTTGCGGGTAGCTCCTGGGGTCGCTCTCTTGGATGCCGTGGCTGGCAGYGGTGCCTGAGCTGAGCAGAGGCTGAGCTATACGGCCCTGCCTTCCCACTGTGCTGTGCTGTTGTTGCAGAAAGAGGCGGACGAGACGCTCACCACTAACCTGTGGATTGAACATGTGAGTGAGAGAAAGGGGGGTCCAGCACTGCTGGATTCCTGCCTGCTTCCTTCCTCCACAGCCCCCTGCCCTAGGCAGTGGCCTTGCAGCGTGCCACTGTGCCCCGGGGCRTGGGGACAGGGCGGCCCATGTGCCGAGGGGTGACCAAGGATCCTCCCTCCCAGGGCTGGATTGACTACCGCCTGCAGTGGAACGAGTCAGARTTTGGGGACATCACGGTGCTCCGCCTGCCCCCAGACATGCTGTGGCTGCCCGAGATCGTCCTGGAGAACAAGTGAGACATGTCTCAACTTCCCCTCCTGCACCCCAACCTGGGCTGGTCGAGGCTTCCACCTTCAATGGGGTGTCCGGGGTCATTGGCCAGAGCAGCTGAGCCATCCCCAGTGCCAAGGGGACCACCTCGTGCTGCCCACTGGCCCCGGTCCCCACCTCACCCTCTTTCCGCGCAGCAATGACGGCCTCTTCCAGATCGCCTACTACTGCAACGTGCTCGTCTACAACACGGGCGACGTCTACTGGCTGCCGCCCGCCATCTTCCGCAGCACCTGCCTCATCAACGTCGACTTCTTCCCCTTCGACTGGCAGAACTGCACCCTCAAATTCAGGTGCTGCGGGGCTGGCAGGCCAGGGTAGCACGGACAGGAGGACAGGGCAGTCATGGAGGGCTCTGTGGAGCAACTAGGGGGGCTTTTGTGCTGGAGGCTTGGGCGGGTGGGCAGCCAGGACATGGCAGTGGGCACACAAAGTCACTGCCTGTCCTCCTGGCCAGCTCGCTGGCGTACAACGCTGAGGAGATCACCATGCACTTGAAGGAGGAGGCTGACATGGAGACGGGCAAGAATTACCGAGTGGAATGGATCATCATCGACCCTGAAGGCTTCACAGGTAATGGGCACCTCCTTCCATGCCCTGTGGGAGCCACACACCCTGTACAGAATTCAGGGGTGATCTGCCACTCTATAGGGAACACAGGAGCTCCTTATAGGGCCCAGAAGCAGCCCACCRTCAGGACACTCTGTAAAGGGCTCAAGGACATCCTGGTATGCAGGGCTTTGGCACTCAGGCCTAGCTATCTCTACTTGGGCTGGTGAGAATGGGTTCACCTCTAAAGAATGGTAAAACCCCAGGTAGGCTGGGCTTGTGGAGGACAGGCATGGTTGGTTTCCCTCATGCCACATTCTATCCTGTGCGTCCTGACAGAAAATGGGGAATGGGAAATCATCCATCGTCCAGCCCGCAAGAACATCCACCCTGAATACCCCCGTGATAGCAGCGAGCACCAGGACATCACCTTCTACCTCATCATCAAGCGCAAGCCACTCTTCTACATCATCAATATCGTCACACCATGTATCCTCATCTCCTTCATGGCCATCCTCGTCTTCTACCTGCCTGCCGACAGTGAGCAAGTCCAGCGGCACCTGTGCTGGGCATGGGGATGCCTGTAGGGCATCCCACATCCCATACCTGCACTGGGCCCTGGAATATGGGGTCACCTCAAAATCCACATGACACTTTAGGGCAGAGGGGCACCCCAGCAACCAGGACAAGGCACTCTGGCACAGTCACATCCCAGGGGGACTCTGGCACCAAGACACCCCAAACAAGGGAACAGGAACCCATCATCTTGGCCAGGAGACTCTGCCAARGGGCACCATGCGCAGGGCACAGGACACGCCATGTGAGGCACCCCTAAAMCAGAACACCTTGCACAAGCCACTCTATCCCAGAATGGGATACTTGGGGGGAGATCTTGGCAATGGGGACACTCGGAGGGTAATCCCATCACTGGAGACACTGGGAAGGATCCTGGCACGGGGGGCAGTAAGAGTCATCATGACATTAGGGACATCTGGAGGGGACCAGAGCCTCCTGAGGACCAGGGTTGACCTGAGCTCACCTGCCCTCCAGGTGGGGAGAAGATGACGCTGGTGATCTCCGTGTTCCTGGCCCAGTCTGTCTTCCTTCTGCTCATCTCTCAGCGCCTGCCCCCCACCTCTCACGCCATCCCCCTCATCGGCAAGTGAGTCTTGGCCACCACCCGGCATCTTGGGGACCAGGGGGTGGCACAGGGTGACTCTACCTGTGCTTGGCCCCAGCGGTGATGCCAGCCCTGCAGGGRGTAGAACAGGGTTGAGGGGTCTGTATGCCCCCCCACCCCCAGGTATCTGCTCTTCATCATGATCCTGGTGACGGCTGTGGTGGTGATCTGCGTTGTGATCCTCAACTTCCATTTCCGCACTCCCAGCACCCATGTCATGTCCGACTGGGTCAAAGAGGTGAGTGGGGTGMCAGGGGAAGACCAGCCATGGCTCACCAGGCTTGGCAAGTGCAGCAGAGCCCCACGGAGGGTGTAGGGCAGCACTGCCCAGGCACAGCGTCCAAGTGACCCATCCTCATCACTCCAAAGGGCTCATTGTCTTCTGCTGCTCATTTGGCTGGGGCTGGAGAGAGAGAACAAGGAGCCCATCCAGGGTGGGCACTGGGGGACTGACATCTTGTCCCATGCCCCAGGTCTTCCTGGAGACCCTGCCCCGCGTGCTGCGCATGTCACAGCCAGCCGAGAGCTCAGCGGGCGCCCCGCGCATCCGGCGCTGCAGCTCGGCTGGCTACATCGCCAAGGCGGAGGAGTACTTCAGCGTCAAGTCCCGCAGCGAGCTCATGTTCGAGAAGCAGTCGGAGCGGCACGGGTTGGCCAGCCGCATCACCCCTGCCTGTGAGGACAGGGGGACATGGGAGGGTGGCAGAGCCAGGGTGCCCAGCGGGGACACTTGTCCTTTGGGGCCACCTTTTGGGTGTCCATCTCATGGCTCCTGTGCCCCCAGGCATGGCACCGCCTCGCACAGACACTGGCCACGACCAGGTTTACGAGCAGCTGAAGTCGGCCGTTGATGCGGCCAACTACATCGTGCAGCACATGCGGGAGAAGAACAGCTACAATGAGGTGAGCGCCACAGGCATGGCCGGGGTGGACGATGCCCAGGGCATCACTCTCCTCGCTTATGGCCAGTCCCTCTGCCTGCTATGCCACCCACTGCCCATCTCCCGTAGGAGATAGACAACTGGTACCGTGTGGCCCGCACCATGGACCGGCTCTGCCTCTTCCTCATCACACCTGTGCTGGTGGTGGGCACCCTCTGGATCTTCCTCATGGGCATCTACAACCACCCGCCACCGCTGCCCTTCGCCGGAGACCCCTACGACTACAGCGAGCAGAACAAGCGCTACATCTAGGGTGTCAGCAAGGTGGGTGGGGGACCCAAGTGTTTCCCACTCAGACGCATTGGCTGGTGCTGCCAGCTGGGAGAATAAAGCCAAGTTTTTCTTGCCATGGATTGCTAAGTTGATGGCTCCTCTCTGCCCCTGGGCATGGGACAYTCCTAAGCACATCACACACGTTGGGAAGGGCAATGCCAGGCACGAAGGGTGCTCAGGGAAGGGGATGGGCTCCCCATCTAACACCTGCTACCCCAGCCACGCAGCTGGTTGTCAGAGAAGTGCCATCAGTGCCCATTTTCCATCCCCCTGCCCGTTAGGGAATCCAGAACTGCCCTGTCTCCCGCTGTGCCCAGAGGCACCAATACCTCCCTCCCAGCGTTCCCCATCCCATGGCACAGGGATGGAGGGGACCGAAGTGTTTCCCTCCCCACTTCAGGGCTCCAGTTTCAAGGGGCACAGCTGACATCCTCCCTCCAGCAGCGGCCTGGACAGCTGTCATCTCCCCTCCGCAGAACCAGGAATCCACCCACCATAGCACCCAGGGGATTCTAACTCCGGTCTCGGAGGAGGTGCTCAGGGGGGCACTGCCCCCTCACCCGCTGGTGCTCCCTTCATGGACATCACTCTCCTGCTTGGGAACCACACAGCCAGGTCTGGGCAGCACAGGGCACTGCAGGGGGTGCTGGCAGTGCCAGCCCCTTTTCCGTGACCCATGCGTACAGAGCTTTCCGCTGCTCCCCCGTCCCGCCCCGGCCGCATCATTCCAGGGAGCAGCTGACGGCTGTGGGGACAGCTGGGCGGCCCGGGCGCCAGGCCCAGAATAGCTGCCGGCGGCGCCGAGCGGAGCCGCGGCCGTGCCGCGCTGCGCCCCTGCCATGCGCTGCGCCCCTGCCATGCGCTGCGCCCCCGCCACGCGCTGCGCCCCCGCCACGCGCTGCACCCCCGCCACGCGCTGCCCCGCGCTCCTCCTCGCGCTCTGCGCCCTGGCAGGTAAGCGGTGCCCACCCTGGGGGGAGGCCGGAGGAGGCACCCGACTGTCACCCCACCTTGGCACACGGAGGCGATGGGGGTGGTTGTAGCACCCGTGCACTGCTGTCCTGGGGGCTGGTCCTCGTGCTGGCAGACCGTGTCCTGTCCGGGGGTGCATGGGGTCATACTCAAGCGCATAGTACCCCCAAGGTGCAGCCTCAGCACCCATGGGTGTGCAAGGACACAGCGCTGTGCTCACATGCAGCACAAGCTTGGGTGCTACTGCGCCCGCGTGCTGGCCCTGCTGCATGCCATCAGGAACATATGAGCATACATAGCACTCCCGCCACACACACACACATATAGGTCAAGTCAGCAGCTCCCAAGGATAGAAGACTCCAGGAAGACCCACAAGTGCCCCCATACCGTGGGGACACCCTGGGGACACCCTGGTGCCCGCCCTTCCCAGGTGTGAGCTGCAGGAACCAGGAGGAGAAGCTGCTCCAGGATCTCATGGACAACTACAACCGTCACCTGCGCCCAGCGCTGCATGGAGACCAGCTCATCAACGTCACCCTCAAGCTCACCCTCACCAACCTCATCTCCTTGGTGAGGTACCCCCCCTGCACCAAGCCCTGTCGCCTGCTTACCTGCACCGGCCACCTCCTAGGAGAGCAGGGCCTCTGAGGCGGGCGCCCAGGTCCACGATGTCCCCATCCACAGCACCACCATGCCAGGGCAGTGCTGCAGAGGAGCACAAGCACGTGGGCACTGTGTGGGAGAGCGTCTGCACTTGCCCCATGCCAGGGGGCAAAGGGGGATGCTGGAGCCAAGGTGGGCAGGGTGCTAATGCTGCTCTCCCCCTTCCTTCCCAGAACGAGCGGGAGGAGACCCTCACCACCAACGTCTGGATCGAGATGGTGAGACCTGAGGTGGTGCCTGTCCCTGGGCAGGAGCCCCATGCCCCCTTTGCCTCTGAGRGTGGCACCCCATAGAGGGTTGGCACCAAAATCCCTTTCTGTGGGTGCCCTCAGATGCGAGGGGCAGCATGGGTTGGGGGGCTCATGAGCACCCTTGGTGCAGGGTGGGTGAGTGAGGCCAAGGGGGCACCACCAGAGGACCCACCCCTGCTCCCCTTGCCCCAGCAATGGTGCGATTACCGCCTGCGGTGGGACCCCCAGAAGTACGACAACATCGAGCTGCTGCGGGTGCCCTCCACTATGGTGTGGCTGCCCGACATCGTCCTGGAGAACAAGTGAGGCTGGGCAGGGCTCACCGCGTGGGCACTGGGGGCATTTCCCCATGCGGGAGCTGCTGGGGGACGTGGTTTGAGGCTGATCCTACCCTTTCTGCCCAGCATCGACGGGACCTTTGAAATCACCCTCTACACGAACGTGCTGGTGTCCCCCGATGGCTGCATCTACTGGCTGCCCCCTGCCATCTACCGCAGCTCCTGCTCCATCCACGTCACCTACTTCCCCTTCGACTGGCAGAACTGTACCCTGGTCTTCCAGTGAGCGTGGCGCGGGTGCCGTGGCGGGTCTGGATGGGACACAGAGCAGAAGGACAGTCCAGATGCCTTGAATCCTGCAAAATGGCCCTGGCACCCTATGGCCCATCAGGGTGCAGCCAGGCGCCTGCAGGCTGGGGACGGGAGTGTCCTCCAGCATCTTTCCCTCGATGTCATCGCCCATCCCTGCCAGTGCCAACCTCAGCCACCCCTTTTCCCCCSACCAGGTCCCAGACCTACAGCGCCAACGAAATCAACCTGCTGCTGACGGAGGAGGACGGCCACACCGTGGAGTGGATCGTCATCGACCCCGAGGCTTTCACAGGTAGCGCCGCAGCCGGGCGCCGGGAGGAAGAGGAAGAGCAGCCAGGGAGGCAGGCAGGGAGCCGGCCCGGCCCGAGGCTGGTGGCTGCCAGAGCAGGGCTGCGGGCAGCTATTAGCGGCTCTCGCCATTACACGGGCACTTAAGTTATTAGTCAAGGCGGGCGCGCGGGTGAGATTTGTTTTGCTAACCTCCCCTGTCGCGGGCGCTCCCTGCCTGGCAATCTCTCCCGGAGAACGCCGCTCCGCGGGGCTTGATTGATGCTGGGAACGTAGCTGTCACGGCCAAACRATGACGTTTTCCATCACATTTTAATTGCATATTGAAGGAACAAAATGCTTTTCGGGCAGTGAGATTTATTTTTTCATTACCGGCCCGAGCTGCGATCTTGATTGGAAAAAATCTATTGCTCCCACCAGCAGYGGGGGGAAAACAACGCGCCGTAATCAAGGGTCACGCTCGGCTTCCCCTCCGGCTCCCCAGCACCTGGGGGACTCCCAGCCCCACGGGGAAACTTGCTCTAGGAGCCCCCAAGCCTGTGGTGCCCAACATGCCCTATGGTTGCCCTTTCCTATTGCTTTTAAGGATGACATTTTGCCCTGGTACCCTCTGGTCCCCTCCTCTACCCCCTCAAAACAGCTCTAGTCCTGTTCCCTAAGCCCAGCACGGTGCCCATATCAAGCATGGGATTTCTCCCTCCTCCCTGGGACAGGGGCCAGTAGCCCCCGGAGGGGTAGGGGTGCAGGGACTCACGTGGCACCTCTGCGTGACAGAGAACGGCGAATGGGCCATCAAGCACCGTCCCGCTCGGAAGATCATCAACGCAGGGCACTTCACCCCGGATGACATCCAGTACCAGCAGGTCATCTTCTACCTCATCATCCAGCGCAAGCCGCTCTTCTACATCATCAACATCATYGTGCCCTGCGTCCTCATCTCCTCCATGGCCGTGCTGGTCTACTTTCTGCCCGCTAAAGGTACGTGCTGGTGCTGTGCCCTCAGTGGGCACTCTGTGGCCAAGGGGTGAGGACAGGTCTGCACTCGCACTTTTGGGGACCACCTGTGCTGTCTTGCTCCCACTTGCAGTGTGGCTTGCAGGTGCCCCCTCATCCTGCAGCTTTTGGGTGGGAGGGATGAGTTTCTGGGTATCCTAGGGTTAAACTCCTGTAYTGGGATATGGCTGGTTCAGTTTTGGGGCAGGTCCTTTGCCAAAGGAGGGCCATGGCTACACCCCTGCCCTGGGCCAACTTCTGCCTTTGCCCCTCCTCAACAGCGGGGGGACAGAAATGCACCGTCTCCATCAACGTGCTCCTGGCCCAGACCGTCTTCCTCTTCCTCATTGCCCAGAAGGTGCCAGAGACATCCCAGGCCGTGCCCCTCATTGGGAAGTAAGTGACAGCACAGGGATGCGGTGACAACCCTGCCAGYGCCCCGAGCAAGGGGGAGCAGAGCAGAGGACACAGGCAACCACGTCCTGTACCTCCACACCCACGGCTGGTATGAGACTACCAAATCCCCCACATAGCCCCAACAGCCCCCCARCTAGCATGGCCTGGGCCCATTCCCAGGTACCTGACCTTCCTCATGGTGGTGACCGTGGTGATCGTGGTGAACGCTGTCATTGTCCTCAACATCTCGCTGAGAACGTCCAACACTCACTCCATGTCGGATAGAGTGCGCCAGGTACCTGCCTCTATCCCAATCCCCTCATTTATGGGGCATGGGGGTATTGGAGGATGTTGTGGCCCCCTTCGAGGACCAAGGTGGTGGCATGTGTTAATCTCAGCACAAGCCCTGGCTCAAACAGGGGTCTCCTTAGATTTTCCCAAGGGACCGCACTGATCCAACCAGGCCACTACCAAGGACACATTGCCCAGCATCCCGCTAGCACGTAGAGRTGCCCTGGGCGATGTGGGGGGGTCCCAGCGGCACGAGGCCGCTGCCCCGTGGGTGACGCTGTGCCCAGGTGTTCCTGCACCTCCTGCCCCGCTACCTGGGCATGCACATGCCGTGCGAGGAGGCGGCGGGGCCGCCGCGGGCCGCCCGCAGGCGCAGCTCCCTGGGGCTCATGGTGAAGGCCGACGAGTACATGCTCTGGAAAGCCCGCACCGAGCTGCTCTTCGAGAAGCAGAAGGAGAGGGACGGGCTGATGAAAATCGTGATGGAAAAGATCGGTGAGTGCCCCAGGCGCCCTGGGCAGGATGGTGTATCCCTGCCTGCCCAGGTGCCTGCTGGTGACCGCTGGCTGTGCATCTTGCAYGTAGGACACGGCCTGGAGAGCGGCAGTGACCAAGATTTCTGCCAGAGCCTGGAGGAGGCAGGCCCTGAGATCCGTGCCTGTGTRGACGCCTGCAACCACATCGCCAACACCATCCGGAAGCAGAACGATTTCAGCAGTGTGAGTGGGGCCAGAGAAGTTTGGAAGGGCACCTGGGAGGGCACCCAGGGCCAGCACCACGGTGCCATGAGGGAGACACCCCCAGCATTCCGTCACCAATCCCTGTTCCACCTGCAGGAGAATGAAGAGTGGATCCTGGTGGGGCGAGTGATCGACCGCGTCTGCTTCTTCATCATGGCCTCCCTCTTCGTGTGTGGCACCATCGGCATCTTCCTCGTGGCTCACTTCAACCAGGCGCCCGCCCTGCCCTTCCCTGGGGATCCCAAGAGTTACCTGCCATAGTGATGCCTGCACACGTCCACCAGCAGTCCTGCCACAGGGACCACCTGAGGAGGATGCCAGGCTGTAGCCGGGGCTCTGCTGGGGCCTCTGCAGACACAGCAGCTCCTGGTGCCACACGCAGTGCCGGGAGCAGCTGGGGGGCGCGGGGGGCTATCGGCAGCGTGGGTGGCGCGGAGGGGCTGAGTGATGCTGGTGCTAACCATGGAAGTAAAGCCCACGGTGCTCACACAGACCTCGGTGGTGTCTTTGCTGCGTGCCCGCTGATCGGCCCTCCTTGGATCATCCCTCTTGGACAGCTGGGTTGGGCCTCCCACACGCACTGAGGGCTGGCACGTGGCTGAGGACTTGAGCTCATCTGCCACCCACCCAGGCAGGTCCCGTCCTCTGGACCACATCCCCAGGCCAGGGTTTGCTGGGCACCAAGTGCCTGGCGAGGGGCTCGGGGATGGAGCCAGGGAGGTGCCACTYGCTCCTGGCTTGGCCACACAGCCCAGCCTGGGGCAGGGTCCCAGCTGAGCAGCCCTCCTCTGTGCTAACGCCACCACGGAGGCCAGCAGCTGGTGTCAGTGACGGGCTGTGTCCCCACGGCCCGGCCACCTCAGCTGCTCCCAGCACTGAGCGTCCCCGCTGCCCGCAGCCAGCTCCCGAGCACTGTGCCAGAGCGAGGGCACCGCAGGCAGCGGGAACAGCAGCCAGGCCAGCCCTGCCAGCTCCTCGCTCGCCGCCAGGGGATTCTTCCTACCCCGCTGGCCAAAGAGCATTTTCCTACCGACCCCAAGAAAGTTGCAGCATTAAAGACAACAAGGTGCATAAACGAACCAGCTTGCTGCTYGTGCCCAGAGCGAGAGGAAGCAGCGCCGGGCGCTCCGAATCCCAACCACGGCAGCAGCAGGACAGAACAGCCTGCCCAGGAAAAGCCCTTCCGCTGCCCACTCACAGGGAGCATTTAAAGGTAAGCCCAGCAGGACAGCAGCATTTGCAGATTTAATAGCAACCCTGAGCTCATCGGCACCGGCTTTGGCACGGAGCGGCAGAGGGGGAAGTGGGCGAGAGCATGGCACAGCAGAGGAGGCCACGGCGCACAGCTGGGCTCAGCAACAGGACTAAAGTCCTCCCTGACGCCACCTGCGAGCAGCTCGAGGCGCTGGGGAGGAAAGGGGCCTGCAGCTAGCGCGCCAGCCCTGCCTCGCGAGCTATTTTTGCTTAGATTGCTGGAATGTAATTACGACTAAATCCCCCTAACAAATATCAGAGAGCAGCAGGGGAGAGCTGTATTTAAAAGGAATTTTAAGTAGCAGTCATAGTAGTACCTGATCGCAGCAGGAGAAACAAACTGTGCCTGTAATAGAGCACTTGGTTGAAAGCTGCTGGCAAGCACGTGGCAAGGAGAGCAAGGGTGTCTCGAGGCCTCGAGACACAAGGAAGGACTTTACAGCCACAGGGGTTGTGCCCTGACACCCTCTTCTGCCCCCTGCCAACAGGCACAAACTGCCTGTCCACGGATGCCCGAGGACTGRGATCCTCAATGGGATATGGGAAAATGAGCCCATTGGAGAACGAGCCCATCAGCTGTGATTATGTTAGACCTTCCTGGCCACTTTCAGCCCAGACTCCAATAATGTGGGGAATTTGCAGTCAGAGCCATGAGGCTGAAAGTCCCCCGGTCCCCAAGGCGGGTAATTGTCCCGGACACGGGCTGCCAGCTCTGCGGTCGCTACCAAATTGGCCCAAGCAGCCCTGGGCCCAGGAGACTGTGCAGAACGTGTGGGCTGGGCCTGGGCTCTGGCTGCCAGTGCCCCCTCCCAGCCCATGCAAAAGCTCTATTAACAAAAAGTGACTGTGCAGATTCCCCAAGGAAGAGGGGGAAAGGGTAGAGCTGTTAATGAGTACAATTAGCGTTGTGGCTGAACACAATCAGAGGAAGTAATTAGCTCCTATTGTTTCTGTGGTGTCTCACTTGCAGACACGCTGGCTTTCCAGGCAACAACCCATCAATCTGGCCTTGCCCCGGAGGACAGGGGGGCATTTGCTGTCCACCTTCTCCTCCTCATCACAGCTTTCACGCAGCTATAAGTGACAAAACCTGGGCCAYCAGCCTCTTCTGCTACGGCCACTGTGGCAGCCCATTTCTCAGACAGCTGAGGACTTGCAAACCTCAGGACAGCACAAATTCAGCCCACTCCAACACTCATGGCTCTGYAATCAGCCCTTCCGGGGACCCAAAACCAGGCAGAGCTATTGGTTCCCCACCAAGAAATCAAGGCAATTAAGCAACACCAAACACCCAAATACCTCCTTGTTCTAGTTAAAAGCAGTCTGCACCCCTCTGTGCTGCAGGGAGGGCTGGGCACACAGCACTATTAACCCCAGAGCAGAAATAAGGGGCAGGAGCCAAAGGATGTCCCTCCTTTTCAAGCAAGGTGATGCAGCCACCACTCTCATGCCCATGTTATCTCACAAATACCAGAGCTAAGTCAATGCAGGCACTTGGGAGGCTCAGCTTGGAGCAGAGACCAAGCAGGTCAGCAGATGTCTCRTGGATCTAGCAGGAGCAGATCCGAAGCAGGACCACAGACCACAGAAATACCATCACTCTATTATGCTTTTTAGACAAAGCAAAGAGCCTGAAAGAAACAAAGAGACCCAATAATTTATTGGCAGAGCTGAAAAGGGTGCATTTGCAAACCATGGGGCTGACTCTCAACTGGGAAGCTCCTCCCAGCCGCAGAGAGATTTTTAATACTGGTGTCCCTCAGCAAAAGGCTCTGACGTCAAGGCAGAATCCCAGAGATCCTGCATGCCATGGAGAGAAAGAGAGGAAAGTGCTGCAAGATGCGGCCCCAAGGGCACGCTGCTAATCGCAAGGTTGGCCTCCCGCCCCACTGCTAAAACAAGTTTGTGTTTGACAAGATCAGCCTCTATGGTCACCACTGCTGGAGGGCGTCGGATGGATCCTTCCTCCGAGGAGGAGCGCAAGAGAGTGGCCCATGAGTCCCTTCGGAGGTCGGAGAGCACTGGTAGAGACCTCTCAGTGCTTCCAGCATGGAGAGAGGAGATTAGTGCCAACTCTTGTTCTCACAATGTGATTTTTGTATTTCGAAAGCTGGAATTATCCCTGGAAAACAGAGGAAAAACAGGGGTTAAAGACAGGCTTTCTTTCAAATCACAGTGCCCCCCATTCCACCCAGCACAGCTAACAAGCGTTGCCATCCTAGTCGTGCCACCCATAGGATGCTAGTTAAGCCTCCTACTCTCTGTCTGCAGACTTTCCACTTAAGCCAACCTGCTATTCCAGAACACTTGGAGCACCGGGAGGATCCTGGTTCCTTCCCATCCATCAGGGAGCAAAAAGTGGTATTCCCTGTGAGTAAAGGGTATAAGAGGCACTGATAAACCTCCCTGAACTATCTTAAACAACTCACAAGGCTTTCTCCTTCCCAAACAGTTGTCCTCGGGGACTCTGCTTGGAGCACTTATATCCTGGCAGTGCAACCTCTCATCTAAGCTCCTTTTGTCATGCTGTTAACAAGGTTAGGCATCTGGTTTCTCCTACCTTAAAAGAACATTTAATCTGAGAAGGACATTTTCTCCAAGTTTAAACAGAGGAGATTTTGCAGCAGCTTTTACTCACATAAGTACTGCCATGTGAGTCACAGGGGTTACTGACACAAAAAGGACTGCTGGTCCATAATCTTCATTTCTACAGTCCTGCAACACAGCAGTGATTGAAGATGAGGCAGCTTACAGAACCCTCTGTGTTGCTGCTTACTGCTACCCTGGGAGCAGCAGCAATAGGTAAGGCATATTTATATATTAATAAGACAGATTTTTTTTCTTCCTTTTAGCACAAAATAAGTGAGATCACAATTATTTTGAGAGGATGGCTTTGACAGCTGTCTGAATATACATCCCTTCCCCTCATAGGGAAAGGTCTGTAAATCAACCATTCAGCGATGCCCCACCAAGAAGTCAACCCAAGTCTGTGGAGTTTTGCTGGAGAGCGAAGGCAACTCTCAGCTTTGGGAACAAAACAGGCTGTAGAACTGTCAAAATCCTGCTTAAACCTTTGACTGAGGCACTAAGAGCCATGCGGTAGTGCAACATCACAGCCCAGTGCACGTCGAAACATCTCCAGGAGGCARCTTGGAGACTTGGAGGAGCAGAAAGAAGAAAAACAAACTCTAGGGAGTTAAATAAGTTACTTGGACAGTTAAATAAGTTACTTGGCAAAAGCCATGCTGGAGGTCGTCTGCAGAAGACTGGGCTTCACCTTTGTATTTGCGAGCAAAATAGACTGTACAGTAATTTGGGAGCTTGTTTTGGGATTCATTAACTGGAATCCAGTTAATCTGCAGCAGTGGTTTGGTTTCTCACCCCACGCTGCACTTTCACTCGGGTCATCTGCCTCGGAAGGGCAGCACACTCTGATTATGCCTGTCCTGGACAGATTCCTGCAGTTGCCCTTTACTTGCCTTTACCAGGGTGGCAGGCGGCCTCTACTCTCTGGTTAGCACAGGTAACCCAACAGAGTTGGGAGCTAAATGAATCCTGTCACTGTTTACCAATAAACTTGGCACATTTACTGCCTTCTAAGACCTGTGTCTCACTAAGTGAGCTGGCTTTCTCTTCTGGAAGGTCACCTGAATGTCATCTACAATGAACACTACTAGCGGCTTGTGCAACATTTTGTAACCATTAATCCTCACAAAAAGCCAATGCTGTGAGGAAGGAAAGAGGTTATTTTCACCCATGACTTCAGAGTGAGTGAACAGGCCCACTGCTTGCCCAAAGCTGCAGAGGGAGGTTTGGGGAACACTTGATTCCCACGGCCCTTCAGAGCTCAGCTGTGCTGCGGCACCTACACACCGTGGTGGGATGGGAAACAGACAACGTGGGCTGGGAAATGGGCAACGTAACCCACCCTCCTGCACTCACCCATAGAGCAGCCCCACTCAGCACCAACCTAAACACAGCCCTCATCACTGGCCTTGTGCTAGCGCTTTGTAAGGAAGGGGCTGCCATCAGGTAAGTGGGTATTAGAGGTGAAAAAAACCATCTAGGCTGCAAGGCTGACAGCAGCACTGAGTTCACCTCAGCTATTTTCTCCGTAGGCAGCCGGTTGCTGTTAGCAGAGGTAACGGGTAGTTTCACCTCGTTAGCCACAGCACTATTATTTTTACATGCAGTAACTCCCGTGTGCCCTTCCTGAACGAGCTTTTACTGCCAGGTGACTTCATTCTGCCCCAGCCCCSTGTCGAGAGCAAAGGCGCGAGCGCCAAGCTCTAGCTCCTCTCGCGGTGTCCATCACGTGGATGTGCTTAATGATCGTTTACCTCTCCGTATCTGCTAGCAGTTAACCCTAGGCAAGAGCCCCAAGCTGCAGACAAACCTCTCAGCCTCCCGGGACCAGGTCGGGAACACAACTGCCTCTCAAAGGAGGAGGGCACATTCTCAAAACGGCATCGCAGCAAAGAAATGCTGAGTGAATGGATACCACCCTCAACACGGGTGTCTTTGGTGCAGAGACTCATTTTGACCTTTGGGAAAGGGCCAGCAACAGGATGGATCCACCAGCGGGGCCACAGGGCAAGCGGAGCACGTGGCAGCCCACGGGAAGGGGGTYGGAGGCTGAGAGGTGTGCCCTGAACCACGTAGGAAGAAAGATGAGGCCCTACCCTGGGTGTGACAGAGGGAAGGGGAGCGTTCGATCAGCGGCCACTGCTGTTCACCAGGCCATGAAACTCCTCCCAGGCCCTGGCAAGCCAGAGGGAAAAAAAAATGAAGAAAAAAAACCAAAAACAGCACTTCAGATCAAAGGCTTCTTAACTTTTAACGAGAGCAGAAACATTCAATGGCGTTTGAAAGGCACTTGTCTTCGGAGAGCAAGGCAATATTCTCTGATAGCCCTAGTGGATAGAAGCATCCTTAAAACCCAGCCAAACATCTGACAGCACAAGGCAGCTTTAAAGTTCTGCACAGACACGAAGCGTTCCCACTGGCTGCTGGTGATATAGCCACATTAATACCCAGAGACAGGTATGACCTTCCCAGGCACAAATAGAATATCTATTTCCTATTGCTAATAAAATAGCCGATGTTACATATTTCTGGAAGATTATCACACTCCTTGGCTGGTAAAACTCACCCAGTTACTGGCCTCATGCTTTACCACATACCTGCCTATGTAGTAATGCCCACAAAAGGCACTTTTTCCCCACCCCCATGCCACACAGCTAAGTTATGAGGCTATTCTTCAATCAGGCAGCAGAATCCAATTGTTATTAGAAAGTCCTATTTCCTGCATTGTTAATGCCACGCACAATAAAAACACCACAGCTATTGGAAATGAAAATGGTTTTAGATAAGTTAGAGGGACAGGCCTAACACCGCATTCCCCGGTGGAGAATCTGTTCCTGATGGACAAAGCCAGCAGACTGAAAAATTGCTGTCTGTTTTACGGAGGCAGCATACTGAAAGACCTCTCGGGGAAAAGATGCTGAGGTTAACGTGAGCACCACTATTACCTTCTGGGATCAGAGACACCAAAAAGCTCAGAGTTTTCTGTGCCCAGCAAAATACGGTGGTGCTCACAGCAAACACCACTGATCCCCCCAAAGTCCCACAGAGCTGGACAGAGMTTAAAGAGAAGACAAGTCAGTTATAAACCCAGGCTGCCCTGCAGATTGTCTTGCTGGTACTTGAGCTACCTCACATCTTACTTTCTGAACTGCCTCATTGGGTGCAAAAGCAGCTCAGCTACCACACGCTCTTTCCAGCAAAGTTACAATGTCCAAGGGCAGCTTGGGTCGTGTGTGCTTTGATAGACCATCTCACGCACATTCTTGCTAGGAACTGAACAAAGACGACACAAGCACAAAGCTCATCCCTGTGGTGCCCCAACTTGGGCTTTGTGGCATTGCCTTCCTAGAAGGCAGGACAGCTAATTCCTCTTTAGAAAGAGTCTCTGCAGCTGCTGAAAACCAGGTGGAAAGCTGTCCATACCTCCAGCATAGTTAAAGTCTCTCTACTCTTTTATCTTCCCTCCAACCATCCACACTTTGTATTTCCACCCTTCCCTCACCCGTAGTTGCATCTTTTCTTTCTTCTCTCACACTCCTCCCCAAACTTGTGACTTTTGTCTGCACAGGGACACAAGGGCAGACTATTCATCAGCACAATTATCATTTGCCAGCTCTTTCAAACCAAGCAGTTCCATGTTCCAACATCCCAATAACATCATGCACACAGCCCTGCTGCTGCCAAGTCCTTCTCACAGACCTACAGCAAAAGCTCTTCCAGCCAAGGATTTCTTTTAGCTAAGACCCTCATATATATTATAGCACTAATTACTCCACCTCCCTGCTGACTCAAGTGAAAAATCCATGAGGATGAGCCTGCCCTAATGCACCCAAGCTCTGCTAGCAGAGCAAACTGCCCTCCATTTCGCACTGAACGAGGCTGCCAGTTTATTTCAGCTGGCGGAATCTTTATGGCCTGTGATGTGCCAGAGGCACAGTGCCAGAGTCTGAGAGGTTATTTTTATGTATAGACATTTTTAGTACCTTATTGCTATACTGTCCGTGTGGCAATCAGATACTCGGTGAATTGATCCTCGACACGTAGGTTATTCCCATTGAACAGATGGGAAATGGAAGCATTAGCAGGCTAAATAAAGCCAGCCCGAGCTCTTCTTCTGCTCTCATTCCTGACCCACAACTGTTGAAACTTCCCACTCCCTCCTCTACTGCCCAGGGTCAGTGCCCAGGAAGGACACCCCTTCTCCCATCAGGTAAAAATTGGAGAAAAATGCATAAAAAGTAGCTACTACCTGAAACTCCACCCAAAAGAGGAAGAGTCAGGGCCGCTTCAAGGGACTTCTCCATGTCAGGATTGTGCAAGCCACACCAGCTGTTCCCACTGCCCTCAATCACTAAACCCAGCAGTTCCCCTTCAGCACCTTCCTCCGCTGCCCCACTTCCCTTCCAACTCCTTCTCCAGTTAGAAAAGGGGACTGAAAGCTCTTGTAGTGCAGGCTACACCACTGTACTACACTCACCAAGGTCTGTCCCCTTCCAGCACCATGTGTGCTTCTCAGCACACCCATCACCCACAGGTCCAGTTCAACACAGCCTCTTCTGGGGGCCCCACGCTCTGAGTAACTGAGCTTAAAACATCGGTCTAAAGCCAGGCAAGAACTTGTGACTGGCATAAAAGCAGAGAGCTTTAAAAGACCTGGGATTTTTTTTTTTTCCCCATCTTAAAACAATCATTTCAAGTATCTGGCAGCATCTGCAGCTAAGGCAAGTAGGGAGGCCATCCTGACTTTGAAAGCGACGTATCTGAACTGACCTCCTTGGAAAGAAACATGAAATAAAGAGGTCTTAGTCCCTCCTCCGGGGAGAGGCAGGCCACCAAGTTATGGGAGCCTTACAAAGTATTCAAAATTGAAGAATTCAAAATACTTGAATAAAGTATTCTGTGGTGGTATGGAGTGAATCAATGAATCCATCATTTCAAAGACCAGGTTTATGGAAGTGATTTCAGACTAGCACCAACCACTGGAAATGTTATGAAACTGGAGAAGGGAGTGATAAATGAACTATGGCCAAATTGCAGAGACTCAGACAAGGGCAGCTATCAGTTGCGGAACCTCGCTGCTCTCCTCTAGCTTTTACGTCAGCCCTCAGACTCGATGGGATGAGCGTGAAGCAACGCAGCTCTCTGGAGATGGCAGCATCCAAGACAACCTATGATTCCACTGACAGGCATTAGACAGCACATACAGGTCCCATCCGCAAGCCACCTAACTTTAGAAAAGGTTAACCCTGCCTGCCCCATTGAAGGCGAAGATAAAGCCAGCAAACACTGCAGGAGGAATTGAGAAATGTCACTTCCCGATGTTACTGGAAATAGCAAGCGGGAACTGGTGCTACAGGAACACAACAGGCTGCAGAATGAGCTAAGCTCTGATGTAGCAACAAACAAGTGTTCTCGCAAGCACACGACACAGGCTGCTGGCTCACAGACACAGACCTTCAGGACAGACACCTACCACTTCAGTGAGGATTTCTCTCTGCATTTGTTTCAGCTGAAATTCAAGATCTCATTCCCCACTTCTTCCTGGTCCAAAGAACCTTCCCCTTTTGCTTTTCTCACAGTGTATAACTACCTCCAGAGGGTCTCTGCTTATCTCCCAGCTAAAATACTGTCTGGGGTCATCCTCTCCAGCTGCCCATGCTGAAACGAACCCAGTGTTGGCCTTATTAAGATCAACCATTTTTCTCATTTACACAGACTGTCCCATTAGTTATCAGTGGTGACTCTGAAAGGAAGAGGGAGTTTTATACTCTGCTCAGCTCCCACTGCAGCAGCACTCACAAATAACTGAAGCTTTGTTTTCAGAAAAAGCAGCCTGCTTTTGAGCTGACAGGACGATCCATAAAGTCACACGGCAACCAAAACGCCAGCCAGCTCAGTGGAAGGCTGCTGTACAGCCACACACCCAAGGTCTGATCTCTCTGGGCATAGGAAGCAGCGTTGCTCAATTCGCCCAGGCATCTTCGCATCCAACGTTAAACAAATAAATAAATAGAATCAAGCTTTACAGCAATCACTTCCATTAACCCCTCTGCCAACTCCATTCACTCACTACAGACACTCGAATGTTTCTGGTGACTTCAGCGAGACACAACTGGGCTGGGGTCAGGGACAATTCTGCTTGCAAAAAAGCCCAGTGTGCATCGGACAACAACAAAAGCAGCTGCGTTTTTTTGGTGAACTGTTTAAATTGAACAAACAAGAAAACCACAACAGCAAGAACACATCACCACATGAAACCACAGCACTGCCACTTGCTAACCCACTAGCACTACTGAACAGCACTGCCTCCAAGACTAAGAGTACAGGTGAGCAGAACATCTTACATGTTTCATTACATGTCAGTGCAGCAGAAACATTATTACAAGCTCTCCAGAGCTCCAGCTTAAGAGCTGAGGTAGGTTAAGAACAACAGCCTAAAGGATGACCTCTGAGGGAGCAAAGAGACAAGGTTTCTTTCCAGCTAATGAAACAGAGTAGCCCACAAAATGTCACACATTCTCTCAAGGAGCCCAGCACTGTAACGCTTAAGGTACTATAAACCCCCTGGAATGAAGCAGAGTCCAAGAGATTGCTGTAGTTCTTCTAGAGAGATTGGAAATTAATACAGACTAGGCTGATCCTTCCACCCGCGGGGATTTGGGCAGCTTGTCAATACCTCAAGCATGAGAAAGGACAAACATGGGAAAATAGCAATGAAAGATCTGCTTATCTAGCTAAATGCACACGCCCCACCACCAAGAGCAGGAAGGACAGAACGCAGAACAGCTTCTTGGAATAGCTCTGAAGCAACAGATACTTTTCAAATGCATCCTGGCAGCTCAACTGCTTTCCGAAACAAAGGGGTCTGCAGCCTCACTGACAACTCATGAAAAATGGTGTCTAAAAATGAGTTAATGTGAAATGCAACATCACAGAAGGAATGTATAAAGCCTGAACAACAGTGCTCAGGTTTTACAGCAAGGGGCACACTAGTAATTTCTAAAGAAACGTTCATTTACACTGTGTCAAAAGCTAATCCGGGTCAATTCACTACCCAAAGTCAAGGTTTTGAGAAACGCCTGCTCTTTTCTCACTAAGCGCACTCCCTTCCCTGAAGCACAATCAATGCCAATCAAACCCTGCACATGAGCAGAGCTCTAGTGGAGAGATGCAGCCCATACAAATGAAAAATGCCACAGGCCCTCTGGAAAGGCAGCAGTGACAAAGCCTACAGCACCACTCTTCCATTAGAGCCTTTCATAAAACACAGCCAGAGTGTGAATAGAAAGTGCTGGCTAGAAAGCCCTCCCGAGTCATAAATCACATGGTACATGCGCAGCATAAGTGGAGTTTATTCATGACGGACAGGATTTCAACAGGCCTTGATAGATGGCTGAGGAAAAGGAGCCAGGCTTTCTGGAAGATGAAACTAGTTACACAAGAGATTCTTCATTAGTGAGAAAACCTTAACGATGCAGGGCAGAGCCAAGTGAAGTCAAAACTGAAAGCCTGGGCTGTCCTGCTCCCTCCTGTCAACACGGCAGGCACTGTCACGTCCCTGCTGCCACCGCAGCTCGCTGCCTGTGATTCCTCCATGCTCGCACTGGCACCGGGCGAGAAAGGCACACCACGTTGTTCCATGCATCACTACACAGACTCCAGTGACAAGCACTTCTGCTCTGAATTTACACTACTGCCATTAGAAGGAAATGTCGGACAGCACTGAAATCAGACTGGGCCAGCTGAAGGAAAGCAACGGGGAAAAAAGAGTTCTCATGACTCCCTACATGGCTCAAGGTTAATTGCTTACATCTACTTCACTAGAAGGCTACCAAACCAACTTCTGACTACAAATCAACTTCTCACTATCACTTCAACTCACAGGAGAACAAGTAGGAGAYGAGCCAAGCTGCTCCTACTCAAGAATTGTTTCCAGCTGTAATCTGAGCTACACTTGATTCCTCAAACACCTGTTATTCATGAACAAGCTCATCCCACACCATACGTCAGCACAACAAAATGAAGCTCTTATGCTACGTTGGAGAGGGCAGCAGCACGGCCTATTGCAGGGTAATAAAACCAGGGGACCAGATGCACCATCACGCTGCAGTTCACACAGCCATAGCAAAACCAGTTACGAGCACCGTAATAGCAGCAATTCTCTGTCCTGGGAAGTCTAAAGGGGATTGTGTATATGGGAAAGGCCACATCGTTTTCACAGCAACCATGCTACACAGAACCAGCAGCACAACTGGACACTAGGTTATGATACAGCTCTCCTTACAGAGCCTGGAGGAACAGAAACATCTCCTTTCTCACACAAAGCCTCCCCATTGCAGTCTGCTACTGCTGTACAGAAGTAAAACAGCCAGGTTTGTGTTTGCATGAGCACTTGGCAACATCAAAACATGGACATAGCGAACAGTGCCCTCTCCCGGCAGCGAGGGCATGAGAAATGCTACTCCAAGATCATGAGTAAGAGGATTCTGACAGTAGAACTAACTGGGAACTTATAGAAATTGAAGCTGCCTGGGAAAGATTTAATAGCAATAATTTCCCCTTCCCTCTCTTTCCCCCGCAAACAGGGGAGGAGGCCACACGGAGTACTGCAATGCCTAAAGACATCTCAACAAGTCCTCTGCATTATTGCTAGGGTGACCCACGCTGCAAATGGGCAGCAACTAGAACCTACTTTCTGCTAAAAGCAAGACTACTGAGCTCACCCTGCTGGGAAGAGCACTGAAGAGACGCTGACCATGGGGGAAGAAGAAAGGACAAGCCAGTGTAAAGAAAAGAAATCTTGAAATGTACTTGCACCCTGATTATAGGCTGCATTGGAAAACTCACTGGTCTATCAACGCCTTATTAATTTGTTCCACTTTATTTTTTTTTCCAGTGTACACCATTCCAAGTGTTAAACAACATGATCTAATCACCGTATTGGTTTATAATGCACTAGAAAAAAAAAGATTTACGTTATTCACTTATAACTAATACCTATATATGCACTTCTTTGTCACTTTGTGGGAAATAAAAGTCACCCTGAATAGCCTGGTATGGTAGGCTATAATGCGTTTATTTAAAAATACAGCTGTCCTCTCTGTGTACCATGATCTTCTAGTGTAAAGAGCCGTGGTCACCAGGGCCTAGAAAACTTAATATACGGCGTTTATTATGATTAGAAATCATTTGTACAGCACTGTAAATTCAAACAGCACTTTCTCAAGAACATTTATAAGCCTAATGGCACAATAAATCCCTGTTAGCTTCCGCACTTCACTCCTCAGAATCTCTATTCATTCAAACGGTCTCATCCCCCCACTGCAATCCCACTTCTGAAAATGCCAAGCTGCAGCTCCACGCTGGGCTGCCCAGCTACTAAGCGACAGGGGAGGTGGATTGCTAACAAAGCCCAGGACTGCACCACTCAGAAATTAAGCCTTTACCATTAGAACCAAATATCCCTAACAACAGCTTGATAATGACACACATATTTGGCTTTCCAAGTGCACTGGCAACAACTGCTGCTGTTCGCACTGAGCAGCCCCAATGCACCCAAGCAGTTCTCCAAATCATGGCTATTTTTGTGAAAAGGTTCAAGCCCCTGTGCCACCAGCAGCAGGCCCTCCCCGTGCCCCACCACACATACTTGATGCTGTCGGTGTGCGTTTTATATTCCATGATGGTGTTGGGAGGTAGGTTTAGCACTCTTCGTAACGTGTCACGTATCCGGGCTGTCGTGGCCTGGTCGCTGGCCGTCTTGTTCCATATCGAGATAATATCCTCCTAGGGAAGAGCGGGCAAGGGGGTGAAGCAGATGGCAGCTTTCATAGCCCTGCCAAAGGCAAGTACCTGCCAGTCCTTGAACAGCTTACCTGGAACCGGACAGAGACGACTGCCCCACAGATTTCTTCCCCCACCATGAACTGTTCTCCCAGCATTGCCAGAATGAGATTCTCCCAGCATCGTGACGCTAAGCCCTTCCGCAGGCGGATAATCCATTTACCACCATTTTTGTTGGCATCATCCTAGGAAGAGGGGCAAGAAATCGATTTGTTTTCTTCCAGCTATTTTTCTGCTTTTCACAAGACAGACGAGCCACAGATGGGAGCAGATATTGATTGGGTGGGGCATTAGGGCCACAATGAAGGTATTTTCAAGCTAAAGCACTATTATATCTCCCACACACAGGCAGAGAGGGAGGCATACCACCTATTTTGAATACAAAATATTTAAAACAATGACTTTCAACTTTCCAGAGAAAGCTCTCTGCACCAAACACTTGACTCTAGGGTTTYGGCTCCATCAGCAAACTCTGTACTAGGCCTACCAGACTGCACACAATAACCAGAAGGCAACAACCATTAAATAGTATTTCTAAACCCGAGGCTGATTCTCCCTCTGTCTAAAGTGAAGTCACTTTCCATATGATTCTACTTGTAAGACTGGAATATCCCTAACCACAGAACATGAAAAGCAGGAAAACACTTTGCGTAGTGCTATTTAAAAGCAGAGTGCAGAAACACTTTCCTTCCACATTTCCAGCAATGTCCATTCAAATTCAACAACTTGCTCACAGATTCAACCCTTATTCTGGGAGCCACTGGTTTTATCACACATACAGCTGAGGGGTTGGTTCAAATTGTGGTAGCTCAAGTAAAGGGAAGGAAGAGGGACAAATTCAGGCTAAGCATTAAACTTGTTATCTCAAGATTTCAAATGTTGCACCTGCAAAAGAACTAAACTCCTAGAGACCACCAGCATCAAAGCATACACATCCAAATCAAAGAGCAGAATATTGTAGCATTCCCTTGTAGAGCACTGGAACTGGAAGGGGAGAAGGTGGCAGCTCTGGGCAAAACCCTGAAGCACAACAGCAGCCCCACACAAGGGGAAGAATCCAAATCAACACGAGTTCTAGGAATGTGGCAGATTACCAACAAAAGCAAACTGTATCCTGTTTAAGTATCCATGTTTTCCGAGTATGATCATCCCACTCTTAAGAATTTAACCATCTRGACTTCAGCTGTTAAGCAAGGAGTCGAGTTTAACTCCTCCAAAGGCTTTCCACACTGACTGATGGAGACACAAAAGTCAGAAGAGAAAATGCTATAGCTCAGAAATACTTCAAAGGTGCTTTAAGCAGGTTCAAAGCTTGAGAAAAAAAAAAGAAAAGAAGAACAGCACTTGGGAGGCAGATGCTGTATTATATGCTTTATGGTTATTGTTAGTTTTCTTTCAGGTTAAACAAGCTTCGGTTCAGTCAAGCATTTGATTTCCCTTTACCAGAATAATAATGACCTGCAGCACAGTAAATCACAGGGGAACATAATGCTTAGTGCTTCTGTCTTTACCCAGAAAAGGAGAGATGGATCCAGAAAAAGATCAGAGCCACACACAGAATTTATGTGTGAGAATGGCTCCTCATATATGCACCTATAGGGATGACAGTAAGTAGGATTAGTTTGGAAGAGAAAGGAGCATAAACAAAGCCAGACCTACAAAGCAAGCAGGAAAGAGAAGGCCAGCACCAAGATCCTAGGTCCCTTTCTCCAGATACATAAAAAAAAAAAAAATTCCAAGAAGGGAATGGAAACAGGTTTAAAATAATAATAATTAAAAAATCACCCTCCTCCCCAGCCCTATGTTAAAAGGCTGCAGAATAATGCTTCATAGAAATTTTGGTATCACTAACTTGTGGAATCTCTGGTTGACATATCAGAGCAGGTAGCTCACTAGCAGCCCAAAGAGGGTTAAATATTTTATATAAATTGTATTTGCAGTAACTCGCTATAAAATACCTTGCTTAAAATAATTGCCAACTAGGGTCACATATAAATTTCTCAGGACCAAGCAGCATAATTAGGTACTTGAGAGCAACACATAAAATCCTCATATCGCGAATGGTATTGGTCATTGCTGGACACAGGCCAGGAACCAGAAAAATGATTCGCTGGGCAAAGATTTTTTTTCCTTTTAACAGATTTGGATATGAATGAAGAGAAGCAAAGTGCCTTGAATAAAAAGAAAAGAAATGAAGGACTAAGCCATCTTTTCKGCCCCAGTTCTACATAAGTTACAGGATTGTTATCCAGGGGCACCCCTTCCTTCCTTCCTTCATCTGAACGACTGCCTTCCTACAGTTATTGAATTCCACTTAAAGGCTCACCCCTTTTAGAGGAAAGCCCCACACTGTCATTGAACAAGGCTATTACAGGAGGCAAGAGGACAATATTTACGAGGCCCAAGCTGGGATCCTTCAGGCAACACTACCTGAAGATCCTTCAAAACCCACAAAGAAAAGCAGTTCTGCAGCCTTTGCAGGACAGCTGCTAGCACCACTCTGCATTTGCCTTCTTCTCTGCCAGCAGCTCACAGAGCTGCCAGGTTGGATGGGACACAGCTCTGAGGACAGGTTTAAGGGCAACTCAAAAGGAAGGCTGCATCCAGGAGAAGTCTGGCATGCCATTTAATGACAAAAGTCCTTTCTCTGCAGAAAGCTTCTTCCAGAACAGTCTGGGAAAACATCAAGGCAGATACAAGAGCTCCGACTCACCTCCCACATGGGTTTGATGCCCTCTTTGAAAAGATGGAAGTCACTATGGCCTGTCAGGTCCCCAGGACGTACCATGTGACTGTAAAACCGCCAGAACTGCTCCACCTGCAATGACACAAACCAGGTAATCAGGCTGCCCACACAGCTCAGGGCTGAGACTCCAACCAAAACAGACTCTTTGTTCTACCCCAGCTTAACAGAGCCACCTTCCTCTCTTGTTTTCTACTTCCTTGTCACTAAGGCGTTGATCAAAACACCCAGAAGGCAGCCATGGAAAGGGAGCTGTTTCTGACTGGCAGAAAACCATCTGAATTATTCAACAGATGCCTCCACAAGCTACTTGGTTTCGTTTAAAGAAATCTATGCTGGGATAATCATTGCTCTGGAGGACAGTATCTTATAAATCCTGCCTCCCAAAGTTTCAATTAGTGGATATATCAAATGCACCAGCTCCAAACAAGCTCCTTTACACATACAAGATTACATTAGCTCTGCATTAGCCATTGCTCTCTGCAGAAACTTTTCCTCCAAATAAAGCATATTTTATATTTGATTTATTCTACCCAGGTTTTAATACAGATACATTCTAGCTGAAAATTTTGGAGGCACTACCTAAAGCTTTTATGTAAATGTCTCTTATTTCCTTTTACAGTCCATCACAGTATACCTCGACCACTTCAAAAACACCAGTTTTCATCACTTCTCCATACCCACTTCAAACGGTCTGGCCTGAAGACAAGGTAATACCTTTTTCAATTGTTGAAAATAAAATATTTATCCTTTGAGATTCTCTGAATGAGAAAGGATTTTATAGAGGTTGGATCTTTAAAACAAAAGGAGGCACCAGGGAAGGATTCTAGTAATTTCCTCATCTGAAGAGGACTGTACTCAGTAAGATGATAGCTATTAAGCAGACAAGCAGTGAAGCTGCAGGGGGTAGAAACCTCCCAAGTGCTTTATCAAAGAAATCCTGATGACTTGGTCATCACTTGGAATTCTGCTCCAATCTCTGATCTCTTAGCATCCAAGAAGGAATTTCCCTTTGCAAGCAATATAATTACGAACCAAGATTGAGGTAGGGTCAGCAGCAATCTATTTTTGCYAGGCACATCCAAACGCAGTATAGAAATTAAATTCTTATACTGAGTGAATATGCCCTCTAGTGGTTAACGTGTAAAGGCTCTGAGGGCTTTCTAATCAAAAGCAAGAATAAATTGGAACTCAGGATTAGCACAAATACTTCTTTCCACAATCCTTTTTTTCTTCTCCTCCATTTGAAATCAAAACATCAACTGATCTTCTGACCAATGTCCCCATCCGAACTGAAATCAAGCATTTCTAGTCCACAACAACCACAAATTCTTTGCAGCAAAGAGCAGACAGCAAAATATGTGAAGCTTATCCTCCGAGAAGATAAAAATCAATTTTAAGTCATTATTGATTTAAAAAACAGACTGAAAAGTTATTGTCGGATCATCCCACAGCAGCCACTACTCAGCCCAAGCAATTTGGGCTTGCTCCCATAACAGCTGGGAGAATACATATATAAATTGTCAACCACTAAAGCAAAAATAATTAATAGCATGGGAGAATACGAGCAAGAGCTAGCTGTGATTCAACATGCTTAAAGTTATTCTTCCCACTCTTATCCTCTGTAGATGCAGTAACACAAGCTAGCTGCCCAGACAGGCCTGGGGTTTGGGGGTTTTGTTTATTTATTTATTTWTTTTTAAACAGCTTCCAAAAGGGATAGAGGAATATTTTAAAAAATTCTAGGTCTATGAAGGAAAGATTTATCAGTGGACAAATCAACATTTGTGAGAGATCCTGGAAAATCTGGAGAAAATATAGTATAATATAGTATTTTTTATGAAGTAATTCCTCTCTTGGCCTGACAATCCAGTTTCTGAAATAACCCAGACAAACATAAGCAGCCAATGAACTTGACAACAATATTGCATTTGGTGCCTGTACAACTAAGGACACATTTTGTTTTTCCCCTGCATCTCTTGGGATTTTAATGACAACTTCGGACTGCCACTACTATGCAACAACCAGCACTGCCTTCCATGGCACGCCCAGGTAGTTCTGGAAACAAACCACCAAAATAGTAGGAGAGGAAAGGGAGAGCAGTTCATCCTTTAACGAGCTAAGGCRCTAATGAGCTAGGGAGTTAAGCCAGCCACAATGACCACACCATGCCCAGGTGACATGAGGATAACAGGTACTCACGGAGGCAAAGGTGCCAATCTGTTTGATGTTCTGCTCATAACTCTGCGAGCTGGTGGGTCTCCCAGGGGTCCGTCTGGAGTACCAAAATGTGTAATTATACTGCAGGGGGTGCTCGGCTGGCCCTGGCACAACAGCCTGAAGAAGAGAAGAGCTTGTTTATTCCTCATTCACTCCTCTAAAGGGGGAATGAGAGAAATTACATTCACAGTATCAGCAGTCCACATCTTCCTGCCCTCACTGAGTGCAAAATAAACAAATCATCCTCATTTTCACAGAAATATACCATCTCTGAAAGTGTCTGACATGCTAGCCTAATAGCAGCYGACTGTTTCAAAAGAATATTGGAAATCTGCAGTACAGGGATGCCTAAGGAAAGAATAACTTAGGCTTGAGGGAGTGTCACACTCCCTCAAGTGACAGCAGCCCTCATCTTAATTAAAGACAGTAATATTAAGTTTTAGTCATTGACTGTGGCTGTATCTAAGTAAATAAACAAACCGTGCAACTACAAGGTTGTAGTGTAAGAGTTTAATTTTTTAATTAAGAAAAAGAAATCATTCTCATTCCTTGGGAAGGGAAAAATCCWTTTACACTGAACCATGATTCAAAAGCAATTAAAACTCCCTGGTGACTGCAACTCCTCTAAGCAACCAACACCCTCGGACTCTGTGAGGATTAGTCTGACTTAGAACTTGTTATGTCAGCGTTGGCAGAACCCACTGCTAGCAGCAGACACTCATCTTCTTCTAGCCTCAATCATTTGTAATAACAGTTTCTAAGAAGCATAAAATGGACAAACAAGAAGTCAGAGTGTCACAAATGTCAGAAAGAAAAAATAAAGCTGTCTCCTTGTGTCACTTGATATTGTTACAAGAGTAACTAAGGTTTAAACCCTACTCTCTATATGCACAAGGATTCTATTACTTAAGGTTAGTCTAAGCACAAAAAAAAAAGCACAGAAATGTTACTTGCCTTCCTAGTTGACTACTTTACATGCATACAGATCCCGTGTTCTGGATTATGTCAATGTCACAAATATGGCTTAGCAAACCAATAGCAAGCCACTACTCAGTCATTTCCTTACRCCATCTCTAAATATTTTGGGGAGGGAAAATAAAGCTTTACTTCTCATTTCTCCTCAAGGGCCAGGCAAAGTACTAACTGCATTTGTGAAGGGAGCATTCACAACACAGATTATATATTCTCCAAAGTATGTCAGGTTAACCACATGCTAACGTAACCCTTCTATCTTCATTACAGCAGTAAGAGCCCATCAAGTGACCACAGCACTAAATTCTTACTCTTATTCCTGGTCAGAGAACATTCCAACATTTCCACATCATGTCCTGGTGACAGAACAGCAGGACCAGTCCCTTACCTTCCTCTTGGTACTACTCTGTGGTTTCTCGCGGTCATTCTTTTCCTTCTCACCGTCTTTCTGTGTGTTGTTCTCCTCATTCTGGTCATGGTCTCCGCTATCATCATCTTTCAAACTAGTAAATAAAATGAAGAAAAAAAAAAAAAAGGAGAGTCTTGTGTCTCACAATGTGGAAGCCTCAGCATCAGCCCCCGCTCTAAACTCCTGTGTCACACAGGAGCCACCAGCATTTGGAGACCTACACATGACAACCTACCAAGTGCAAATGGCAGGTGGGGCTTGGCCTGGCCAGAGCCCATCACAAGCACTTCAGGTAGGCACTTGTAAGCACAACTGTGCAACAAAAGGCTGTTTCAGGGCAAACTCCAGCACTTTGCACTAGCAGAAATCTGCTGCACAGAGACCGAGCAGGCAGATGACGAGGCTGGGCCCCACAGTTTTGCCGGCTGTGCCACCCTGCCCCACACACCAGGGGCAGGCAGCCACCCCACGGGCACCCCGCGCCCCCCAGGCCCGTCTGCCCACCCCCTGCCTCGCCAAGGGCCGGTAAAAAGACGCAAGAAGCGGGGTCAGAAAGAGACCCGCAGCTCCCCCCGCCACGAGCAGGCCCTTGTACCGCCAGGCTCCCCCGCACCGGCCGCTCCCGCTGCCCTCGGCTCCACGCGGGGCCCGGGCCGGGCCGCCCTGAGGGAGCAGAACGGGGCAGTGCGCGGCCCCGTGACTCATCGCGTCCCGTCTCGGCGGCGCCGCCCGCGGGGAGGCGGGGCGGGCCGGGGGCGCCGCGCGGCGCGCGGGCCGGGGCGCGGGGGGGGGCGGCGCCGCCACCGACTCACGCGTCGAATTTGTTGTTCATCGTCGCTCGCGGCCGCCACCTCCGTCCACCTCAGCGACTTCCGCTCTGCCGAGTCCTCCTGCCACAGCTTTCCGACACTTCCGGCGCCGCGCTTCCACCCGGCCGCATAAGCGTGGAGCGCGTCGCAAATGAGGAGGTGGAATGTACCACCCCTGCGCCATCTTGAGTGCTGACTCCTGAGGCATCCTGGAGTAAGCGCCATCTTAAGCGTGGCGGCGTGCTCCACACTCACGTGTGGCAGAGCCGCCATCTTGAGCGTGCGGAGGAGCAGACCGCCATGTTGGGTGTGGCGTGAGTCAGGTCCGTTGCCAAAAAGGCGGGAAGGCGCCTGAGGCGAAGAGAGAGACAGAGCCCGAGGGGTGGCGGCACCTCCTGCTCTGCGCGCCTTGTTCATCCTTCGCCTCCGTGTGAGGCCCAGTTAGAAGAAACAGATATCCCATCAGATAGTTTCTCAGAAGAGAAGGTACCCATGCACACGCAAGTATTTCAGATATATGGCAGCTGAACAGGAGACAGTTATTTGTTACCTTTGACTTCTGAGCTAGGTAGGCACCAACAAAGCCTCCCAGCTTTCCAGGCACCCTGCTCTTCTTGTGGTTCCTAATCCCATAACTACACATAGATCTTGCTGGTGCTACCAGTAGCCTTACTAACGCAGACACTAAATGCTTCAACAGTGATGGAAAAATATCAGAGCTGCACATAGAAATACAAGAACAAGGAAAATCACATTACCTAACACATGTTAGCTACTTTTTAAAGCCTCCATACTCACAGCTGAACCAGGGCTAACCATGCTTATGATCCAGCTATACTACACATTAAACTATAGGAAATAAATAACCTTTTTTTTTTGGGGGGGGAGGGTCTATTTTCAAGGCACAAAGTGTGGAATAATGGAAGACCATTAGCATATAGCTACTTTCCATATTCCCTGCTTTTCACTGGTATCATTCAGATTTGGGGAATATAAATCCCCTTCAGTATAGCTTTTCTTACATTTTCCAAAAGAAACTTTGTCCTACTGCAAAGCATTGAGTTAAAGGAATAGACAAATAGATMTCAAAGCCACAACGATGTTAGTTTTCTGCATTTTTCTGCATGTTTTGTCAAGATCCCACTCTAGCCCAGGAAATGTTGGCTATTACAGAAACCTTCAAGGAAAAAGCTAAGAGGAAAAACCTGTGATGCTGAATCATTGTAATATAAAGCCAGATCTGTCAGCTTCCTCCTAGATCCAGGCTTTTGTTGCCTAGACCCASGTTAGGCAGGGTTGTCGGGCTGAGCTGTCTCTACTGTTTCCAGGTGTGCCCATGGGAAATGAGATGATGCCTGCAACAAAATGTAGAATAGCAGGGGGAAAGTATYGGACCGGGTTCCCCATGAGCAGGGTTCATGAAATTACCTTGGTTCCAAGACTTGCCATCATAATATTTGGGGACACTCTCAGCAGTGCTTGTGTAAGAAATCAGAGATATTTATGCTGTTTTTTCACATCTATGATCCTTCTTGGGAAGAATAAACCCCATGTCTACCTTTCTTTTTCTTTACCTAGAGCAGTACTGAACACACAAGAGCTGTGCTAGTTGATATACTTATAACTTTATGCCTCTTTATGCTCTTTTATGCAAAGAGCAGCCTATCTTAAAAAGAGACATTAAGAGTAGATACAACCATTGTACCCAGCCTTGTCCTTTRAGCAGCTTGTTATGGTAAAAACATTTCAGTATACACAACAACAGAAAGCACCATAGGGGCCTCCCTAAAGAAGAGTGTGATGGGTCTCTAAGTAAGTTTTCCAGCACACCCAAGCATCCTTTACTACTGGGAACCGTTCAGCACCGTCACCACTGTGTATATTTTGTGTCTATTTGTGTGTATATTTTTCCATAACTTCTGGGCACCTAAGGAGACAATGAGACACACAATGACGTATAAGCATGAGGAATTTACAAAGGGGTGGTGTCTCCCTTCYACATGCAGCGCTTCTGTTAGGCCACAGCTCAAAGATCACTTCTCTTACAGAAGGGCAGGTTTGCAGTTTGTCTGGGGCATTGCTCGGGAAAGGGAAGGGAGAAATTTTGTCCTGCTGTTATAAAATAAAAAAGGACAGAATGATRTTTTGCTATTAAAATTGCAGAGGGCTTTCACTGTTATTACGACATTGCATTATTATTTATGGTTTTCATTATTTGTGTATTTTTAGATAGCCAGCAGCCGTGTCATGTTAGCCAGGAGCACTTCAACAAGATTTTTCCTATATATGTTGATCTACCAGAGCAGGTGGAAGGATACAGCAAAATCRTAAATATTGCTTCTATTATCTTTAAATGGTTTTTCTAAACATGTTGCTATTTCAGTGTAGCAATAATCACACAAGGRAAAGCCTTCATTACTAAAATAGAAATTATAGTTGCAGTTAACACATGTAGCCATTAGATGGTAACGTTTGCTTGTTACTGCATGGCGGTTTGTGCTCACCGGGTAGCAGAGTAAGGCAACTGAGCCAAACTTTCAAGGGCAGCTACTTATTCAGGGTACCTCATTTTAGATGTGTCAGGTATCATATGATGCCTGGGAAGTGCTGAGCTCCTGCAGAGTCTGGTTGCAGCTGGAGTTTGGGCCCGCAATAGCTCTGCAAATCAAGTCTCAGAAATCAGAGGCCAATTCTGAACTTTTGGACTTGTATATATGTGAAAGATCTAACGGCACACAGGGAGGGAGAACAGAGAGGTACCAAGTAGCTCAAGGYCGTAGGGGTTCAAATAATAACAACACTAACTAGCTCGTGGCTATATGGGATAGAAGGACACCGGAGGTAAGAGTTTCTGAACACGRGTATCACAGATTTTAAAGTATGGAGCATGAGGATGGAAAAGGATAGTGYCCYCACATACTTTTGGTATTACATATGYATATTACAATACCAATATTTTGATATTACATACACATATATATAACTGYATATGAAATATAAATATATATAATATAAATCAAAGTGCTGCAACCATTCAGAATAAAGTTCTACAATGTATATATACATGCATAACTTATATGGTTATATGTGTTGCAGCCCTTTAATAACCTATGATGGGCACTTGAAGGTTGAAGAGGCATATTTGAGCCCCAGGGATTTTCAAGGAACTGGTAAAACGGGTCACTTGTAAAGGTGTTAACAGTTTGACTAAGCATAATTTCCATACATGCCCTGACTTCTGCAATATGCCTTTGGGAATCCATTGGTTATGCTGTGTTGTTGAACTCAACGTATTTAGCTCAGAAATATCTACAAGAAGGACTGCGTCTCTCTGGAGGTGAGGGCAGGCCTCTCCCCTATTAGTGCTGGAGGAAATAAAGATGAACCAGGAGTTCTGAAATTCTCCTGGAAACGGATGAGTAAGTCAAAAAGACCAGAGGAGGAGAGTAATTTTAAGATCTGTTTCCACAGCAGTGAGCAGACAAGTCTTTTGCCGTATTATCCCAAGTAAGATGGGAAGGAAAATTAAAAAAAAGAAAAAAACAGGTGCACAAAATCCTGAATTGGATTCCATCTAATACCTAAGGGAACTTCAGAGCTCACATTTTCTCACTTGTACACAAGAAAATCGAGAAACTTGATAGCACATCTTGTCTCACTCACCTTTCAGGCTCTCTGATTTCCTTTTCCACAAACACTGCTGCAAAGAGAGTTCTCTAGAGGTAGAGGCAGAGATGGGGACATGGGAATTCTTCACCCAAATCCTTCCTGGCTTACCCTCCAGCAGCACATGGGGAAACTCAAGCATCTTGTTTGGTAGGGACTACATTAAGGAACATCAGCACCATTACTGATGCATTCCTTCCATGCCTCTGTACCAAGTAGAACGTAAAATGTTACCTAGCTGTGGTTCTGTACAGCCGCTTGCACATGTAGGCATATGCTTAAGACTTTAATCTATCTGCTTGGTTGTTTCGCAGTGAATATCTGATGATTACTGATGCTTGCAACACCCTCCTGAAATAAGCAGACCTCTGAGAATGAGAAACTATTCTTTCAGCCCAGCCTTTGAGACCTCACACCATAGGTAACAAAGCTTTACTTTGTTCTCTCTCTTTAAAATAATTTTGTTCCTATCCCCAATAGCAAGGACCAGCCAGGACTTTGGTCTTTGTGTATTGGCCAGGAAATTWGGGAAATAAGGACTGCTGGATTTCACAGAATCACAGAATGGTTGAGGTTATAAGGGACTCTTAAAGCTCAGCAAGTCCAATCCCCTTTCCAAGCAGGGCCACCTAGAGCAGGTTGCCCGGGAGCCTGTTCAAATGACTTTTGAATGTCTCTTTTGTAGAGGTCTGGGAGGTGGTTCATGAGCCAGAGCAAAATACCGTAAACCCGTAGGACACACACATACAGAGCAGCAGACCTGCCTTTATTCTTCCTACTTACATTTAGAGCAGCTGTTGAAACTTAATAAAGTCTCCAAGACAATTTTTGGCAGTAAGGTGAGTGATTTAATTATACTGAAATGTATTTTGCCACCAGAAGGCCTGTTTAGTTTTGGAACTAATTAGCAGCATCTAAAAATACAGAGTTAGAGCACCATTGGGAAACATCTGCAGCACCTGACCTGAATGATTAGAAAAAAAAACCCTTTGAGTGTCAAGAAAAATAAGATTAAAAGAAAGCAAAATCTTAAGAAATTGTTTCTTTTGATCTGACAGAATGCTATACTGTCAGCTAGAATMTAATAGCTGCTGTAGCTCTGTTTGCAGCTGCTACAGGCTCTTGCATCCTTTTCTGCTTTCCATGTTTTGCCCTGCAGCTCATACCTGGATTTAGCATTCCTCTCTTTGTAGTGTTCATAGTTTTAATTTTCTGTTCTTCTTGTGGGACTTTTCTGTCCTAACTTTTCTATGTCTGCAGGAGATATTCTGGTTCTCCTGGAAATAGCTGCACAGAACCAAAGACAAGAGATTGGGAGATGGGTCATGAATTAAACAGATTTCCAATTCCTCTATATCATTTTTAATCCTACATAATACAGAGAAATAACTAGTATGCCTAGTTRCATGCCTAGTAGGAAGACTGAGCAGTCAGTATTTTT